GTGTTGCTCTTGAGGGAGTGAGGAGAGGGAAGAGGAGTGTTCGTCCCAGGCAAGTAAGGAAGTACGGACCCCTCTTGAGAGACTTATTGACTCCCGCGTCCTCCATCATGGCATCTGCAGCAGATTGGAAGCTGCAAATGGACGCTGCCCCTGAGGCAGAGAAAGCGCAGTACCGATTCTTCTATGAGAAAGCATTGAAGAGGGAGGAGGAAGAGAAAGAGAAGGAGAGGGAGGAGAAGGTAAAGGCTCATGAAGCCCGTTTCTGTACCTTGCCTGCCCTAACCGATGCAGAGGTGGAAGAGAAAACCGTTCCACTCCTTCAGGCTTTGGTTGACGCCCGGGCTGTTGAGGACCACACTGGCCACAGCAGCACCGTGACCAGCTGCAACAGTTCGCTAATGTGCAGCCATCCCAAAGTATCCTTCCTCCTGCTGACCCTGCTTCTAGTGCTGCGTGTCAGTCCGTTCTTGCCCCTCTAAATGTGTCTTCTTCTACTTCTTCTTCTTCTTCTTTGAGTGTGACTAACAACCTATCCGGATATGCAGCAGATCCAGACCCCGCTGCTGCTGCTGCTGCTGCTGCAGCAGTAGTAGTGCAAGGCATTCTGGAACTGTTGCAGTCCCGAGTTTGGACCCAGCAGCCGCTGGTCCAAGCTGCAGCTTTTCCTATATGGATAGAAAGGCGGCCCAAATTCCGTCTAAGTATGACGGAAAGGACGACATCGAATCTTGGATCAGCTCCATGCGATCCTACTTCGATGTGCTGGGGACACTCCCAGTTACTCAGTCGTCGGTCCTAGGGACCAATGTGGAACCCGCCGTGAGAGGATTCTTGGAAATCCAAGCTGTACAAGCAGGCTATAAAAGGATAGACCTGAACAAATGGCTGAAGGCTACGCCGGTACCCACACTCGAAGAGCTCTTGATCAAATAGTATGCTGATCCACATGCTGCAGCCAAGGCTAGACTCAAGCTTGACAAGCTCAAGCACAACAAGTGGACCGGCCCCATGCACAACCTGCAGCAGTATGTTAGTAAACTCTTTGCTACTCCGAATTTGGAGATGACTGCGCAGTCTTGTTTGGATGTGATAAAAGGTACGATCCTCTCTACTCTAAAAGATCGCCTAGGGCTCGGACTCAGCGCATACACAGATTGGCTTACCCTCATGCGGGATTTAGTCAAGCTGGAGGCACAAGACCTCCCGGGTGGATCAAGTGGCAAAAAGACCACCAGCCGCAAACGGTTTCCAGGCAGCAACCGTTTTATAGCACACGATCTGCTTGAGGCTGACGAGGAGACCCTCGTGGAGGAATCTTCTCTTGATGACGATCAAGAGCAAGACAAGACTGCGGGGTATCTTGCTCTTTGTCAGCCCATGAGTCTGAGTATGTAAACGACGATGAATCTATGAATGCCTTCAAAAAGACTGCCTTTAGAAGTAAGGAACCGAGGACCACAATGAAGAACAATACTAACACCATTCTTCTTCCGAAGGGAGCGAAAATTCCACCCAAACCGGAAGATTCTGCCACAAAACCATGGGTAGATCTCGGGATCAGTGAAAGTGAGTGGAAACACAGGGCGAAGAAAGGGGTTTGCCTGCATTGCACTAAACCGGGACATTCAGTCCAACAATGTTTCAAATTGCAGCAGGGAAACCAACAATGGGGGTAGAGACATCATCAACACACTCTACAGATGGAGAGGCTGAACATGTAAGTACAGATCCTTCTCTGGATTCTGATCCCACTCAGCAAACCTCTCCTGAAACCCCATNTCTCGCAAGCTCCTCCCGAAATGGATGGGGCCTTGGCTGATCGTGGCACCCGTTGGGGACGCACCTGAGGGACCTTCCTTCACGATTCAGGTGCCCGCCCACTTGCTCGTCTACCCAGTTTTTCATTGCTCCAAGTTGGCTCTTTACACGCCAGCGGAACATAACGATTTATCCGGGAGACGTTCGCAAGACCCACCCTCCATGGATGGTTTTCAGGAGGTCGGCGACATCATCTCCGAGCGACGCTACGGCAACAGGCCAACCGAGTATTTAGTGCATTTTGCATACTGCACACACCGAGCTGACCGTTGGTTGACCCGTGCGGAACTTCAAGCAACAGCTCCAGACGTTCTCGCACGCTACAAACGCAAGATGCAAGGCAAGCCGGTTTCTTCGGCTCCACGCCTCGCCCGTGTCCAGGTTCCACCTTCAGATCGTCGGCTTCGCCCTCGCCCCGGCTTGACTTCATAAGGAGGGGGGGGTGTTACATGCTGCGCCTGCACACGAGGGCCATTTTCCAGGCCCTGCGTCCCTCAGGCTGAAAGCCTGAAATTCAGGCTTAAAGCCTGAAAACCGGGGCCTACAGGACCGGTGACTGTTCAGCCCGAAAGCCTGATAACAGGGGCCTACAGTCCCTGTGTCGTTCCAGACTAAAAATGGCAAATAGCCTTTTTAGCCTGAAACGAAGGGCCATTTTTGGTCGTTCATCAGAACGACCGCCCCTAAAACTCAGGCACCGAAACAGGGTTTCGGGAACTGGCTATTCTTAGCCTGTTCCCACGCCAGCCTCAAGCAGCTGCTGCAGCGCCAGCCCCTGGCACACTTCGGCATTGGCAAGAGCAGCCTCCTCGGCCTGGCTCGCCCTTCAGGCAGTCAGGAGGCAGGCCGAGGTAGTACATAGGGACTTTCCATGCACTTCACGGGAAGGCAGGAGGCAGTAGTTGTCTTCAGGATTCGGCCGCAGCACTCTGGAGGGAGCGCTGCAGGGTAGTAGTAGCGTTAGCCTTTAGTCTCCAGTGCTGGGCGCAGTAGGTAGCTGTAGTCTCCAGCGCTGGGCGCCATAGCCAGGATAACACTAGAGAGAGAGAGAGATTGGGCGGAGGCCAGAGGTACTTACTTGAAGCGCCGTTGCTCCAGCTTCGTCTTCGAGGTACCTGCAGCACAGCGCCAACATCACAGGTTAGTTCCTGGCTCGTAACAGAGAGAGAGAGTTCTTCGTCTTCTTCTTCTCAGTCCACCATCTCCCTCTCACCCTCTCATCATCTGACTTCACTGCATCTGCAGGCTACGAGAGAAGAGAGAAAGAGCTTGGTGACATTGGATCCAGACTTAACTTTTGGACTTCAGACATTGCAACGACGGATTATTTGGGACTTGTGACAAAGACTTGGTGTTGACAACATTCCCATCTCTCCCTCTCCTCTTCGTCTGATTCCCTCCTCTTCGTCTGTGTATGTCTGGACCTGGCGCTTTCTTCCTGTGTACAGCGCCGGGCTCCTTCACACCTGGTGATGGATACGATGTATGTTTGGTCTGCGTTCAAACATTGATTGGGCTAGTCATTAGCATTCTTGCATTCTGCTTTGCTATCTGATACTATGTGAATGAGGTCAGTCCCAGTCAGGTCAGGATTTGTATCTAAGTCTTCCCTGCGCTATTCAGCACCATTTTGTATGTATTAGAATGCACATTGCTTGTTGAGATTCTACTTGCACTGCATTGTCCATTCAGTCCTTTTCATTACATTGCGGATCCTAGGTTTCTATGTACATCGCCCAACTGGGCATGTAACATCACTTGTGTTGAGGTTCTCGGCGACTTGAGTTAACGCATTCTGCAACGCTGGGCACGACCTCTTTATGAAGTAAAGCTTGATGCCGTCGAAATTCATTGGCAACTTGGGCGTGCTTGCCAGTCGTTGGAACTCGGATATCCAGTCTCCGCTTGGCATGCTGTTCTGCGAAAACGTCAGCAGCTTGTCCATCGCCTGGTGCTCGGGCGGTTCTACTTGGAAACGCTTGTTCCATGCCGCCGTGAGATCCGCCCAGGTGATGTACTTGTGTAACTCGGTGACTGTACATGCATGTGCGGACAGCATGTTGTCCAACCATGCCTGACACGCGCCTCTCGAGCGGGAGTACAAATATGCATGCCGGTTCGCGTCGATGACGTGGTGGATGTCCAGCTTGAGTTCAAACTGGCGCCACCATTGGATGGGGTCGGTCTTCGATGCGTCACAGAAGATCGGGAGCCCATCGAACTTGGCAATAGTTTCGCGTGTCGTTGCGCTAGGGCCGACCGCTGCGGAAACCTGCTGTTGCAGCTGCTGTGCCCCAGTTTTAAGTGTTCCCACGTCTATCTCCAAGACATTGACACGGTCGGCGAGGTCGGAGGGGCCGGTGCTAGTGTTGGCTGTCGCGACCTGCTGCTCCAGTTGCTGTATGCGCTTGAGCATCTGGTCCATCGACTGCTGTAACGCCTTGTTGGTGTGGTCGAGGGAGTGGATGTCCTCCTGCTGGGTGATACAAGTAGCAAGGAGGTCCGTGACACGGTTGAGCAGATGAGATACCTTGCTCCCGTAGTCGACGGATTCACCGCTCTCGGCCTCCCTCTGTCAGTCCTTGGCCTGTGCATGTAATGCACCTTCGTCCCTGAATATAGCTTCGCGTCGCCGCACACGTTCTTCATCAGCGGCCTTGACTGCTGCTGCCGCGTGCTTCTGTCGCTGTTCTGCGGCCAGAAGACGCAGTCTCTCTGCCTCTGCCTCTCGCTTCTTCAGTGCTGCTGCCGCTGCTTCTGCCCGTTGCTTGCTTTCGGCTATGATGGCCGCCAACCGTGCCTCATAGGCCTCGTCAGACTCGCCTGCTTTCTGATCCATCACTGCTGTCTGCGAGCGAGTAAGTATGGTCATGCGCTGCGGGTCCCTGACGTGGCCTGCTGAAGTGAGGACTTACCAGGTCTGCAGCTGCAGGTGAGTGGGCAGTTAAGAAGGACGGAGAAGGGATGGAGAGTTGGGGTGGGGAGAAGCGGAGTGGGCAATCGAATGGGTCGCGCAGATATGGAGCCACTAATCCAGAAACAAAATTGGAACTTTTGCAAAAGTTTCGAAGAAAAGAAAAAATTTCGAATTTGCAAGTTCGGTGGGCCCCTCAAGTATCCCCTCAGCAGTTGATTCAAAAAAAAATAAAAAAAAATCGAATTTCAGACTGCCAATAAATCAAAATATCAAATGGAGATGATGGGAGTAGCTGAACTGCGAAAATAGTAAGAAAAAAATACCAATTTCCACAAGTCCAGAAAATTCCGAGATAGAAAAAAAATGCGGAATATGTTAGGTGACACTGCAAGGGGAATTTTCCCGAAAAGAATAATTTCCGAAACTCAGATTGACGGCCAATGTCGGTTGCCCCCCAGAATGTGTGAAAAAGAAATAGAACGCATGGGGAAATAGAACGCATGGGGAAATAGAACGCAGGGGGGATTTCCCAAAATTCGAAATAATAAAAGAATGAATTTCAGAAAAAAAAATTCGGAATTTCGGAATAACGGGAATTTCGTAGCGGGATATAATCGAAACCTTGAAAAAAAAAATTCCCGGATTTGAAATTTCTAATTTCAGAAAAGATTTCAAAAAAAACTTTGAAATGACGAATTCCGAAAAAAAAATTCGCGGAATTTTTTGAAATAACGGAAAATTACAGTATTTCGGATCTCCAGCAGCGAAATTTCGAGTTTCAAAAAAAGTGAAAAACGAGAATTTCAGATGCTTTGCTATTGCGATTCTCCTCCAAAACAATAGCGGGAAAATGCGATCCAAAAGAGAAAAAAAAAATCGATTTCGGCAGTTAGGTCAGAATCTGCGATTTGGGGGACTAATTAGTGTGCCCTAATCAACCAATCAATCAATCAATCAATCAATCAATCAATCAATCAATACTTACCCAATCAATCTTAGGTTGTCCCCGCGCTTGTGTCAGATCAGGTTGTCCTGATTCACAAGCGTGGCTCCGATACCAAAACTGACGCATGCCCAATGGGACCATGCGCAGGGAGCCAAGGATCCGCTATGTGATGAAAAGGACTGAAATGGACAATGCGAGGCCAGTGTAGCATCAACAAGCAATGTACGTTCCGAATATATACAAGATGGCACAAAATGGCGCAGTGGAAGACTTAAAGAGAAGATCTGATCTGATCTGGACTGACCCGACATCCATCACACTTCACACATGAGAGAGAGAGAGGAGGGACCACAATCATGGAAGAAAGGTCCATCCTTCGCACACATACATGGGGAGATACCACGGATGAGAGATGGGGGAGGGATGAGACGAAGGAGGAAGGAGGCGAGGGAGTAGACCAAGATCGCAATAGCGAAGTCCCGAAAATAGTCCCTTGCCGAGTGTCCAATCAATGTCTGTCCCAGAAATGTCGAATCAGATCCTGGGCAATGCGCCCATCGTAACCTCTGCCTGAATCCCTACTGATAACCTCTCACACTCTCAGATTCGAAGAAGAAGAKGAGAAAGAGGAGGAAGAGGAGAGAGAGAGAGAGAGAGAGAGAGAGAGAGAGAGAGAGAGACGAGATGAAGTCCTCGCTATCGCACCTGCAGGTCGCTGCCACCGTACTGACTGTGTCCGTCGTCGTGTGCAGGTACCGCGTGGAGCCCAGCTATGGCGCCAGGTAAGCCGACTGCAGGTATGGCCTCCGCCACTCCCTATCTCCTCTATGCCTCTCCTCTCCACTCCGCAGCCCAGCGCAGTATAGCGCTCTCCTAACCAGCAGCGTGTCGCCCAGAAGTGAGCTACTCGAACTGTTCTTTGCCCAGCCGTGGCCCAGCTATTTGTAGCGCTGGGCGGCTGGGCCTACCTGGTGCTGGCCTCAGAAAACGGCCCAGGTGGTCTGGGTCCCTACCGGACATCCAGACCCTGCTGCTGATGCAGCATGGCGCAGAAATGCGCCTGGCCTAAAAACGGCCTCCTATCGGTGCACCTGGCCCAAAGTGTCGTCTTGGGTCCTGCAGGGCCGAAACGACGCCTGTACCTACCGGTTTGGCGCCAAAAGGCGCCTGGCCTCGTTTCGGGCCTGCCTCCGGTGTACCCAGTCCCAAGGTCCGGCCTTGGGGCTGCCAGTCCGAAACGGCACCTGAACAGACAAAAATAAGACAGCACACACACAAAAAAAAGGTACGTAAAATAAACCTATCTACCTAGTGTGCTGCCTAGGGCCTGGAGGGCCGCCGTGGGCCTCCAGGGCGCGTGCTGGATGGTATGCGGCCTGGGGGCCCCTCAGCAACCGTCGGGCCTCTCAAATAGGGCCCGTGTGCAGGCGCAGCATGTAACAGAGAGAGAGAGAGAGAGAGAGAGAGAGAGAGAGAGAGAGAGAAATTGGTCAGGTCTGAGATCCCATCTTAGATCTGGTCCTGACCAGATCTCAGATCTGTTCTTACGCAGATCTGAATAACTTAACAGCTTAAATTTTCAATTTTCATATGAATATGAATTAGAAAGTCTAACTTCAAAGTTCAAAGTTCTAGTATAGTAAGTAAGAGAATCAGAGGTAGATAAATAGTGGTTGTTTGTATTACAGAGTCCAACAGTCACGCTAAGCCAAACCGGCTGATGCTGCCGGGATAACTCCGGGTTGATTTGTGAGGTCCCCGGCCTCAAGGGATACGATTGTGGAATATAATGAATGTGATTGAACAAAAAAAAAAAAAAAAAAAAAAAAAGTTTAAAGTTCTGTTTTTTTTTCTGATTTTCGTACTCTTTTCTAAAGTCACTTGGGATTGGTCTGTTGAGAACTGGTTTCAAGTGTTGTGTGAGCCTTTGTGAATGTCTGTCTGTGACAGTATTGACTCTCAAGTTGTGAATAGTGAAAGACAGTAATGTAATGACCCGTCATAACACAGACTGAGAACACTGCTGATTTCTGAAGTTCTGCTGATGGAATGGATGCATTGCTGAGATTCCCGCATTCTGCTGTGTTTTCTAAGTCTGTCTGTGTGTGCGTGCTTGTGACCTGTGTGCCTCTCTGAGTGCTTGTCGGTATGAGTGTGTGTGTGACCCGCAAGGGTACTTGTTTGTTTGGCAGGCCCGTAGGGCCGGTACTTAGCTGTGGCCGTGGCATTGAGGGTTGTAGCAGGGAAAAACACTTAGTGGCGAAGCTAGCGGCCCCGCGGCCCTTGGGGTAGCGGAAAAACACTCAAGTAGGCCGGTAGGCCGATACTGCACCCCACTGCAGTTGGCGTGAGGGGGTACTGGAGGCCGAGCAGAAAAAAGACAAAGTTGGCATTTTTAGAGTCCAGTAGCGGTAGGGTAGGTCTACGCCGGTACCAGTCCAACCAGTCTGAGTCTAGAGCCCGTACGGGTAATATCACGGTCTGCAATGATGTTTCCCTCTGAAACGGAGGAAGTACCGGTTGCTTGGAGAGGCCGAGGGGCCTGGAAGTCACCGCCCAGGAGGCAAGTAGGCCGCTATATCAAGTGACCGGGCGGAGAGCCCAGCCTCATTCTTCAGTGTGCAAGTTTGGCGACACGCTGCTGGAGCGCTGGCTGTAGTGGCGCTGGGTACTACAGCGCTGCTGGGAGGAAGAAGCCGGGAGCTTCCACCTTGGCTATGGTGGAGCTCTACCGGTAGGAGGAGGAGGGAGAATGGGACGAAGGAGGAGAGTGGCGAGGCACTTACCTGGCTACGGTAGACACCACCTTCATCTCCTTGCTAGGTGCTGCATCAGGAAGGCCCCGTTGGGGTAGTGCCGCATCAAGGAAACTCGGGACAGAGTCAGGCATGGTGGCTGAGTGAGCAGCGGCATAGCTGCATGGTGATGACCCTGTCTCTTATACACATCTAGATGTGTATAAGAGACAGCTTTATCTCTTTGCAAGTGCTTTCATTTCCTTCGCAATTGGGTGACATTGTCTTTCATTGTGAATTTGCACTTGGGAAATGACCAGGATCGTAACAAGTGTGAAGTTTGTCAACACATCAAACCGTCTCGACAGAAGCCCTATGGACTGCTGCACCCTCTTCCTATCCGTGATGGCCCGGGTGAGTCTGTTTCCATTGACTTCACTGACATGGGGAAAAAGAGCAGAAACGGTTATTCGCAAGTAATGGTGATCGTCGATCGTTTTTCCAAATTTCTGAATCTAATCCCATTACCACCTCACGCCCCAACTGACCTTGTGATCGAAGAATTTAACAAAAGGTACATCATGCAGTGCTGTCCCCCGAAGACTCTTGTGAGCGATCGAGATACCAGGTTCATAAGTGCAGATTAGAAGGACTTCACCTCCCAGACCTACGACATGAAACTCAAGATGACGTCTGGTCGACACCCCGAAGCCAATGGACTGGCCGAGGAGATCAACCAGATCGTGATCCAACTTCTCAGGGCTCTTATCGTGCCTGACCAAAACTCTTGGGATGAGGAGTTGCCGATTGTGTAGGGGTTGTACAACAACTCCATCCACTCCTGCACCGGGATGACGCCTAACCGGCTGCATCTTGGATGGAAAATCCGCAATCCTCTATCTTATCTGTTCCCGG